GAGAACTGCCCAGATTTATTAGAATTAGGTGACAAAGTGAAAACAATTCATTGTTTACTTTCTGAAAGAAATATCAAAATGAAAGCTGTCAGGAATGTTACAACTAGAATCCAGAGCTTCAAGATCAAAGAAGAAAATTCAAGAAGCCAGAAAAGTTCAAGTATCAAGAAATCCAAGCCAATATTTTGCAGCTACCTCTAAAAAGGAGAGGAGAGACTGATTCAATATTCTAAAAGGCAAAAGATAAAGACTTGCAGCCCAAAATAACTTACTCTGCAAAAATATAATCCTACAAGGAGGGAAAACAATCTTGAATAGAATACATGACTGTTCAAGAATCCCTAATTTTAAAAAAAAAGTCAAAACTGGGCAGTAAAAATTCAAAATGCAAATAGAGGTCAAGAAAAAAGTACAAAACCTTTGAGCATGTGGAAAGGGCAATACAATGTTTACATTATAGAAAAGCACAAATATTAACCGCATTTACTGATCATAATGCAATAAAATTATACTTAGTAAAAGGCCCTTGAAGAAAGAGTTAAAAATTGGAGACTAAATAACAGAATTCTGAAAAATGAGTGGGTCAAAAAACAAATTATAGAAACAATGGAACGTTTCATTAAAGAAAATTACAATAATGAGACAATATACCAAAACTTATGGGAAGGAGCTAAAGGAATTCTTAGGTGAAAATTTGTATTTCTAAATGCTTTCATTTTAAAAAGAAAGAAAAGGCACATCAATGAATTGGGAATGTAATTAAAATAAACAACAGAAATCAAAAACCCCAAACTAAACAATATATAGAAATTCTGAAAACTAAAGAAGAGTTCAATAAAAATGCAAGCAAAAAATTTGAATCGACAAAACTGGGAACTGATTTTATGTAAAAACTAATAAAGTAAATAAAAATTAAGTTGGTTTTTTCAAAAGAATAAAGAAAATTATTTGTATCCAAAAGGAAAAATGAATTCACAATTGAAGATTATAAAGGCAATTATCACAAACTATTTTATCTAATTCCTTGCCAACAGAACTGACAACTTAGAGGAAATGGATAAATACAAAAATACAAAATAGACAAAAAAATAGTCTGTTTAAGTAATGCAATATCAAAAAGTGAAGTAGAATAAACTGTAAATGAACTGTCACACTCAAAACAAAACAAAACTCTAGGGCCAGATGGATTTGCAAATGAATTCTATCAAACACTCAAAAACAATTTCAATATTACATAAACTGTTTGCAGTAACAAAAAATGAATCACCCCTTCAATCTCATTCAATCATATGAATATGGTCTTGGTACCTAAACCAGGGAAAGACAAAGCAGAAAAAAAAATTAGACCAATATCCCTAAATGAACATTAATGCAAAAAATTTAAACAAAATATTAGCCAGCAGACTACAATATGTTAGAAAGATTATACACTATGAGCAGGTTAGGTTTGCACCTGAAGTGCAATGTTGGTTCAATGTAAGATAGATTATAAATAACAAATTGTAATAATAAAATAATAAAAACGTTGTTATATCAATAAATGCTGAAGAACCTTTTGCCAAAATCTAATACCTTTCCACTAAAATCAAGGGTACAGCAAAGATGCTCATTATCATTACTACTATTTAACATAGTCCTAGAAATGCTAGTCATAGTAGTAAGAAAAGTTGAATAAATAGTAACAAGAAAAAAAATGTAGGAGCTTAGGGGAATCTATCCATACCAGGTCTCAAAATATACTACTAAGTAATAATCATTAATAAAATGATTTGGTACTCAATAAGGAATAGAAAGTTGATCAGTGGAATAAATTAGGTATACAGCAGTAAATGAATGCACCAGCATATGTTCAATAAATCCAGTGATCTCAGTTATTGGGGGAAGGACTTACTATTTGACAGAAACTACTGGAAAAATTGGAAAACAAATTAACATAAATTAGGTTACAGACCAACACCAAGATACACCACAAATTGACACATTATTTGATGTAGTGCTAACAATGTTAAATAAAGAAATAAGAGAGGAAAAAGAATTTGAAAGAATAACCACAGGCAAAAAAAAACCCCTCACATTTTACAGATGATATGACTATTTAGAGAACCCTAAAAAGTTCCCTGAAATATAGGAACAATAAACTCAGCAAAGTTGTAGCATATAAAATAAACCCACATAAGTCGCCAGTGTTCTGTGTGTTACCAACAAAACCCAGCAGAAAAAGATTTTATTCAAAATGATTGCAGAGGTAAAAATTTGGGGGAGTTTGGCCATCAAGACACACACAGGAACTAAACACATTCTCTATGGAAATAAAGACAGACCCAATTATTGTAGCAAACAATTGCTCATGGGCGGGCTAAGCCAATATAATAAAAGCGATAATATTGCCTACATGAATTTACTTATTCAGTGTCAAACTCATCATGCTACCAAAGGATTTATTTATACATCTAGAAAGAAAATAGAGAAATTCATATGGAGAAAACAAAAGTTCAAGCATTTCAAAGAAAATAATAAAAAACACTGGGAAGGGAACCAAACAGGACTAGATATCGAAGTATACTACAAAGCTGTAATCAACAACACTCTTATATATGAGTTAAAAAATAGAGATTGATTATGGAAGAGATAAGTTATACACTGTACAGTGGCAAACACAGTAGCATAGTATTTGTTTTACCAGGGTTACACAGCTATTTGACCCAAACTACTAGGAGAACTAGAAAGAGGCCAGGGAAGCATTCATAAACAGGGTATTGAGAAGATAACAGGGACAATTTTGATAACATATAATTCAATTGTTTTTGCACAAACACAACCAATCAATTTAGAATTAGAAGGGAAAAAACTGGGAAAAAGAAATTTGCTCTGTTTTCTAATAAAGATCTCATATCCAATATATATGTAGCCCAAATAAGCTATGAGATTTCTTTATCCCAATTCTCACCCTCAGAGATGAATTGTGGGTTCTAGAGCAGGTTTTTAATCACCCCCCTCAGAGGTACTTCTGAGGAATTGGAGGTAATTCTTTAATGCCATCAGCTTGAGCCTCCATTGGTATACTTTCCCTCAAAATTTCGGATTGAGAATTTATTCAGCCAGCCTTAAGTAGTCTTTAGAAAGAGGCATTAACTAAGGCACTATAGTAGAATAGTTGGTACGAAACATACTCTTCTCCCCCCCCCCCAAAAAAAATTGTGACATACTGTCCCACAAGTACATACAAAGTCCAGAGTCCCTGGGTTCAAGTTCGAGATCACACATGTAGCAAAGGGTAATCACAGCTCCTAGTTGCTAGAAGTCCTTTTATCTTGTTCATGGGATACTCCAAAACTTCCTCTTAGGCATGGAGTAGCTTCTTTGCTGAGTTCCTCATGAAGTCATAAATCTATGTTCTATCTGTCCTTGGCTACCAATGCCATGATTTGATCTGGGGATGCTACTAGGACTGATTGGAGGATGGAAGTTGAACATCTTCTGCATTGTTTAAGCTTGCAAGGACTCCCTCCAGCCAAAAGTGGAGAAGGGAAACCCACAGCCAAAATTGAAGCTTCTCCTTCCCTGTCTCACCCTCTACACCACACACATGCCAAACAATTCATTCTTAGGGGTTTTACTATACTGCCACATTGACTCCCAACTTCTAGAGTGACCGCTGTCTGAACATGATTCATCATTCCAGTTTGAAGGAATGTTCATGCTTGGTCTAAGGCATTGACATTGGTATTTGTGTGGTGTGGTGGATAGTGAACAGAACCTGGAGTTAGGAAGACCTGAACTCATATCCTGCTTCAGACAGTTATTAGCTGAATGACTCTGAGAAAGTCACTTAACCTGTGTACCTGAGGTTATTCATCTGTAAAAGAGAATATAATAGCACCTACTTCACAAGATTGTGAGGCTCAAATGAAGTTTATACGGTTTTTGTTTGGTTTTTGTTTTTGTTTTTTTTTTCTACAGGCTGAAAGTGCTTTATAAACCTTAAAGTGTTATATAAATACCAGCTATTAAACATGTAACTATTGCAGAGGTGGGGAACTTGTGGCCCTCTAGGTCCTCAAGTACGACCCTTTGTCTGAATCTGAACTTCACAGAACAAATTCCTTTAATAAAAGGTTTTTGTTCTGTAGAACTTGGACTCCTTCAAAAGGTTGTACCCAAGGACCTAAAAGGCTATATGTGGCCTCAAGGCTGCAGGTTCCTCACCCCTGATTGAGACACATGCTCATTCTGATTAAAGTATCAAATCTAAAATAAGGTGGAGTGATTTTGACCCCATTTTCACATATATAAGGAACTGATTCAGATACATAAAAACAAGAGCCACTCCCCTGTGGATAAATTGTTAAATGATACAGACAGGCAGTTTTCAAAAGAAGAAATCCAAATTATCATCAGACACATACACACAAAAAAGCTCTGAAAATTGTTTGTTGTTGTTCAGTCGTTTTTCCATCATGTCTGACTCTTCATGACCCTACTTTGCATTTCTTGGCAAAGATACTGTAGTGGTTTGCCATTTCCTTCTCCAGCTTATTTTACAGATGAGCGAGCAACAGAGGCAAACAGGGTTAAGTGACATGCCCAGGGTCAAACATCCAGTAAGTGTCTGAGGCCAGATTTGAACTTAGGAAGATGAATTTTCCCGACTCAAGGCCCAGCACTCTATCCATTGCATCACCTAGCTGCCCCTATCTAAAAATTAGAGAAATGCAAATAAAAATAACTGTGAGCTGGTATACTCAATGAAATCAGGTGATGGTTTTTGACATCTTTGGCCCAAACTGATTAACAAACATTTAGATTCCAGGTTTCCTCTAAGAAGGCAGCCATAGAATTCCTCCATTCAGGTGTTTCAAATCACTTTAACTCTGCAAAGAACTTCCCTTTATTCTCTGCTTTTTTTTCTCTGGCCCACAAAGGCCCAGCAATTACCATTTCAGTTGTACTTAAAATGACTATTCCTAATTGGCTGTCTTTCTTTTCTTTTATTGTAATAGCACCCCAAGATGCCAAGATCTGGTTTCTGGACAGAGCTTTATACTGGCATTTTCTCAGTGACTCCTTTACTACCTACTATCGCCTACTGATCACTCATCTGGGCCTCCCCCAGTGGCAGTATGCCTTCACCAGCTATGGCATTAGCCCACAGGCCAGGGTAAGAGGAAGTGGATTCAGCCACCTTAGTGTTTTCTATTGCCTAAATCATTTCTCCCAAGACTTAACTAGCCTTGATGAGACTCCTTTGTTTTCAGTGATCTTCCTTAGTGGTCCAGTGGAAAGAGTATTAGATGAGGAAGCCAGAAGATTTGAGCTCTAATAGATTTGCTAACTTGCAGGACAGCCTCTTCTGGGATCAGTTTGCCTATAACCACGATAGCTGCTCTACTGACTCTTTGTGATATTGTGAAAAGCCAATAAAATAACAGATATGAGAGCTATAGAAACATATGATATTGTTGTCATCCTTACAACTCCTTAGATATCCTCAGAGGTAGGGCAAAAGCCATAATGCCCAGCCTCCTCTCAGATGACTTGTCAGTTTAAAAAAAGGGCCTCTCTTAGCCTTGATCTCAGCTCTTATCAACTGCTTTCATTTTAAGCAGTGTCTCTAAAGCATTAAAGATAAACAGGATCTCACATCACCCCAGGGGGAATGATATTTTCCAGGTAGTTTGTGAAAGTTTCTCATTTTTCTTTCCCTCCCCCTGTTTTCCTGCTGAACCTCCTTCCTTCTGGTGCTACCAAGTCAGCCCAGAGACTAGGCATCCTCTCTGGCTTGATAACTATGCCTTATCTCTACTGTTCTCCTCCACAGCAATGGTTCAACATGTACAAACCTATCACCTTCAACACAGCTGTTCTTGCTGAAGACGACTGCACCTTCTTGAACAAGCTGGACCCAAGCAAGGTGTTTAAGAGCAAGAGTAAGACCTTAGCCTCTAAAAAACGGTCATCTCTACAGAACTCAAGCTCCCAGAGAGGTTCATCAGCTTCTCCAGTCATCAAGTCATCCCCCCTCCCTGGAAACCCTGTCCGGAAATAAGCATTCTCCACCCCCACCCCCAGCTTCTCCAGGCTTTATGACTCCCCAAGAATGAATGAATGGCCCCAGATCCAAGATAGTGGTGGTGGTGTGGCTCTCACTGGGTGTGAAAAGATCGAGGGATTTGAACAAAATCAAGGGGAATTTTTCATCAGAACTGGAGTTCATGCCAAGAATCAGAGACTGGGTTCTATCCCTAGGCCTCTGAGTTTATAATACAGCAAGTGGAATCATTACATTGTTCCTGCTATGGTTCTTGTTGGGCAGGAGGAAACATCTTTTGAAACCTAGCATTTTCTCTTCACCCTCCATGCCCCATGATACACACACACACACACACACACACACACACACACACACACACACACACGTGTCCATGTACTGCCTTAAACCAGCAAGCAATAAAGTACACCCCAAGTTAGAGTATCCCCTGACAGTGAAGATCCTGTTGTCAGGTACTGATGATGCCTTGAGTGTCTTAATGTTCCCCTTCCATGAAAAACCTACTGTAAGTACATTTGTGCTTCCCTTGTAGCAATTACCTTCAAAACGTTTAATTTTACTCTTTGCTGCTTTAGTTGTTTGCCTTCCAGCTGTTTTGTCGAATTTCTCTCCAGTTGCCAATGTTATATTTTCTTCTGAGCTTTTTAAAGAGGAGGCAGCGTGGCTATACTTTGTTTTAGTGGTCACCTTAAATCCACCTCAGACTGTGTTTTGTATGACTCCACATGAGAAATGATGATGAAAACAGTAATTAATTATTGATTACTATGTCACTGATGATATACCATATTAGAATGTTGAGTTGCCGAAGCTACAAACTGGTACTGTAACATCTTTAGTATTGTGTGTTCTTTTCCCTAAGTTTGCTAAGTCAATAAAACCATCCAAATGAACAAACAAGAATAAAAAAAAAAGTGTGAGTGAAACCACAAAACTCCATTATTTACAGCTGACTATAAAATGCCTTTTTTTTTTTTTTTGGTGGTGGGGAAGGAAATTCCCTGGTGTTGATAGTCTTTCAGCATTGTTCAAGGCACAAAGAAGTTAAGTGATTTGTTTATAGTTAAAGTGCAATTAAATGTTAGAACTGGGACTTGAACACATGACTTCCTAACTTCAAGTCTAGCTGTCTATCCATTATATCACATTGCCTCTTGTCTTTAACAGTATAGTTAACAAAAATGAACTATTTGCTTCTGTGTCCCCTTCTGAACCCTTTCTCCAGTGTATTTTTTCTGGATTGTACTGTTTCTATTTAAAACAAACAAACCAGTTAAAGTTATGATTTACATTGTCCAATTCAGCTTTCTTTGTTCTGCATTGTTTTGTAAAGATCTTTCTATATTTCTTTATTCTTCATGTTACCTGTATGTCAAAAGCTCCCTCCTGACACAAAGGAGCTGAGGTCTACCTACTTCTCTGGCTTATTGCTCTCACCTAGATAGTGTGTAAACTTAAATATCAGATACCAAGATGTAGTCCTCACCAACACCCTGTTCATGTATTAAACCTCAAAAATTGAACAGGTTTAACTACAGGCTAAAAGAAACCAATGGAACTCTTGTCAGAACCCCAAGAAAGGAACAGTACTCACCAATGAGGGATGTTTACTTAGGCTTGTGAAATCCCAATACTTCCCTCAGTAGGGCTCTAGGAGGAGGCACCCAGGGATTGTCCCCACACATCAGTGCTTTCCCCCAAGCACCTCTGGTAATGTAGCCTTGTCCTTGCTCCAATTCCTGTGACCTGTGGTTCTCAGCAGATACTGCCTTAATTATGACTCCTTTTTTCCATCTTGTGTTACTTTGCTTATAGCCTATACCCCTTACAAACACTAGCAACTCTTAGAAGGCACTGGGTTTGTTTGTTTGTTTGTTTGTTTTCATTCCCAAGAGGTCAATTCTCCATCTCCAGAATCTTTGATAGCCAATGCTATAACTAAAAGATGTAGCCAGGGTTGCTCGTATTCTGAGCCACCTTATGTTCTGTGCTTCCTAGAGGCCTTATGAGGAATGTAGGGGAACCGACTTGCTTTTGCACCTTACAAACAAGGTTTTCTACCCAATTCTGTGTTGCCAGTGGGTAACATCACAGTCTGATGAACTACCTCAATCTGGGAAAAACTCTTTTCCTCTGTGGCTCCATTAGGTCAGGATCTCTCTACAATTGTCTTTCATTCTGTGGTGACTGGTCCTGGGGCAGCTGAGTTGAATTATTCAAATTGCTGAAACGTCAGTAATTTGAGAGGGAATGAGAGCTGTGTTACCTCCTCAGGCATTGTTAGGCCCCATTACATTCATATTTCTTATGGCACATTAATATTCCATAACAATGCTGCTATATGGATATCTGTAAATATGTACACATACATCTTTTCCTTCCTTTTCAATATTATCCTTAGGGATCACTGAATCAAATGGTATAAACACTTTTGCAGCTTTCTTGTATAATATATTCCTTTCTGAAAAGATCACATGAATTTTCTACTCTACCTGAAGTGTAATAATGTGCTTGTCTCTCCACATTCCTACTAGCATTGAATTTTGTCACTTTTAATTAACTTCGACAAAGAAATGGATATTAGTCAATATCTCAATTATTTTTCTTTGAATTTATCCAATTGTTAGAAATTTTGAGCAATTTTCAATTGGTAATTGTGTTTCTTCTTTTAAGAACTGCCTATTCATATCCTTTGACCTACTTACCCAAGAAATAGATCTTTATCTTATAAATTTGAGTTAATTCCTTACAGTTTTGGATATCAGAGTTTTCTCAGAAGTGATTAGTAAATGATTCCCCCCCTCAATCTATTGCTTTCCTTCTTATTTTTGCATGTGTTGTTCTTTGTTGAGCAAAAGCTATGTTTATATAATCAAATTCGTCTATTTTGTCTTCTATGCTTTAATACTTCAAAGAATCAATCATCTGTGGTTTCAATGATGTGAATGCTGTCTTTGCCAATGCAGATTGCAACCTTCTACTGGATGGACAGTATTCAAGAGCTGCTGTGGCCTTTGCCTTCTATAATTTACTTTATTTGTTGGCCAGATAAGGATTTTCCTCCTACACAACTCTAATAGATATATCATTCTGCTTTCTTCTTATTTTCTCTATGATTTTGAAAATAATTAGATCATTGACCTAATTAGAATTTATTGTATAATAGCTTATTCACAGCTTCAAGGAAGAGAAACAGTTCTTACCTTAGGAATATACCTGGCTACAATTTATTGACAATGAAAGATGCAGTTAGGGTGTGTGCACTTGTGTGACATAGCCACTGGGTCCTAGCTTTTTGTCATGATCCTGGGGATATACTAAGATCTCACATTTGAGTTTCAACCAGGGGTTGACTAGCTCTGCCTCCATTTATGTGATTTTAGACTTGAGAGAAAACAAGCTCTTCTGGCATGTTTAATGACTGAAGAGATCATGAGTAGGCCAGGTAAGAGTGCTCACCTGAGTTGGTCTAATTTCTCTGATGTTTAATGGTTGTACAAATGACTCTTATTTTTGAGCTGTTTTCCCTTCTTCTTTCTAGGGGCAGAGAGAATATGCTAAGCCTGTCTCATTCTGCAGCTTGACTGGTAACACACAGAGATAGAACCACTGAGGAACCTTTCAGCTATATTTCATCTTTTCTTATATAAACTACCCACACCTACAAGTGATAAGCACAAGACTTCACTTAAAATGAGAAATCCTAACAAAATCCAAAACAAGGACATAGAAAATATTTGGTGGTTATATAGAAAGAATAATTTTCCTTGCTACATCAAAGGAACCATTCCCACCAGAATACATTGCTATAATTTTTTTTTAACACTGTTCCAAGTTGCACATAGGTGGGTGGAGCAATTTTCTAGAATGAATTAAAGTCAATCTCATCATAGGAAAGTTAATTGAAATCCAGCCACTTAGTCTTTTCTCCTTCTGTGTTGCAGACATTAATGGGAATTTCCCCTTAGGAGGTCCAGTCCAAAGAAACATAGAGCCAAATATATTGGCACTTTGGGAAGATCACATTTGTTTGAACCACAACAAATTATATGGTTATGGCCCCATGGAGGAAACTCCAAAAGAAAGTGGTTTTTCCCCAAGTATCACACCCCCTAATTTCTCTGCATTTTTCTTTATCTCCATTTATAGTTCGAAGTGGGTTGCTTACAAGTATGCAACCCCTGGATGTCTTAGGGTTGCATTCCATGGATACCAGGTCCCATTACAAATCCATGCCCACAGTTTCCCTCTGGGTAACACAAAGGAGTACAAAATTGCTATACCCAGATAAGGATGATTATGTCCTATTTCCATCTCTGAGGTATCTGCCAGCATTCAGATTCAGAACACAGGACAATCATCAAATCTTCGTGCATTTAAAAAATGTTTCAACGGCCTGTTATTTTTGCTGTTGCTAACCTCCCCTATTCCTGCCCTTCTCTTCCACCCCCAGCTTAAAATCGAGCAAAAGAAAGAGAAAAAACCTTTGGGACAAAGAAACATAGTCAAGCAAAGTCTATACAGTGGCCAAGTCTACAAATGCATGTTTCAGCAACTTCTGTCCATCACCTCTTTGTCAGGTGATGCATAACATCCTAAGTCCTCTAGGGGTATGGTTGGTCACTGCATTGATCAGAGTCCTTAGGTCTTTCCAAATTCTCCTTTACAATATTGTTGTCCTTGTGTAGCTGGTTCTCCTGGTTCTGTTCATTTCACTCTGTATCACTCCATACTATCCAGGATTCTCTGAAATCATCTCTTTTGTCAGAATGTATGGCGCAAAGTAAGTGCTTAACAAACATTTGTTGTTAACTTGAATTCTTATAATGCAATAATATGCCATTATATACTACTATTTATTCAGCTATTCCCAATGTCTAAGAGGAAAGCTAAGGCGCTCCCTTAGATTTTTATTTTTTGCTTTTCTTTGTTTTTTTCTCCCTTTTAATCTCTGCTTCAGTATCAGGAAGTTTGTTTTCCTTGTGACTCTTCCCTCCCCTGGTGTTACTCTCCTTAACCCTCCTTTTGTTGTTCAGTCGTTTTTCAGTTGTATCTTACGCTTTGTGACCCTACTTGGGATTTTCCTGGCAATGATACTGGATTAGTTTGCTATTTGCTTCTCCAGCTCATTTTACATAGGAGGAAACTGAGGCAAACAGGGTTAAGTGACTTGCCCAGGGTCACACAGCTAGTAAGTGTCTGAGGCTGGATTTGAACTCAGAAAGATGAATCTTCCTGACTTCAGGTTCAGTACTATAACTACTGTGTCACCTAGCTTCCCAGTCTTAACCCTCCCCTCACCCCCAAAAACATACCAACATACCTGCTTGTTTTCTTGAATATATTTAGACATTACTGGTGTGTGTGTGTGTGTGTGTGTGTGTGTGTGTGTTCAATTTTCCATTGTCCTCCTCAGGTAAAAGTCAGATTCATCTGATGCCCACTCCGAACTCTTCCATGTTTCAACACTCTTCTTTTCATATACCCCAGGAATGACTCTACACTACAGTACTATATTTTTTCTACTCAGTGTATTACTTTTATTGTCCCTTTTCTTTCCCTTCTTCAAAATCTCAGACCAGAACCAAGCCACCCCTAGCACCTCTGACTTTCTTACTTAGCTCCCTCAATGCCCTCTGAAGACAGAAATGTTATGAAGGAGCACTTGTTTCTTCTCCCTCCCCAAGTCCTCCTCATTAAAATATTAACATTTCAGTGTTATACAACTCTTTCCAATTGTTCAAAAATGATCTCTCTTGGTTCCTCTAGACTCTTAGGTTTATATTTCAAAGTTCCTACTCAGCTCTGTTCTTTTCATCAGAAATGCTTACAAGTCCTCTGTTCCATTAAAAATCCATTGTTTTCCCTGTAGGATTATACTTAGCTTTGAAGCAGAAGCGATTCTTGCTGTTGTA